GTCAACAGTCAATAAGTCAATCATTCGTTCTTAACACTCAGTCTATCATTCTCAGTCACTAGAGAGAGAGAGAGAGAGAGAGAGAGAGAGAGAGAGAGAGAGAGCAGTCACTAGGCTAAGATATACCCCAGCCCAGGTGATCAGAGCCACCACACCTGTCTACCCACCTCCCTCCCTCCCTCCCGACGCTGACTAATGACGGCTGAGAGACAACAAAAGCTGGCGGGAAGCGTAAAGTGTTGGGGGGGAGGGGGGTGAGACCTCAGCTTAAACTTAGAGCATAACATGTGGGTACCTCTGCTTGAGAGAGCTGTAACTATGAAACAAGGTGATGCGGGTGTTTATTTTTTAGAGAGAAGAGAAGGAGAGATAAATGCAGGATTAGAGAGAAAAAGAGAGGAGGGGGCAGAAGCACTTACCCACAAAACGACGTGTTAGACAGACATGAACCAACAGTAAGTAAACAAAGCAGGAGGGGGTGGACAGCCTCCTGGTGCTCAGGTTTACAAGTCTCCCTGCTCTTGTAGATGACTATCACGGCCGATTTATTATTCAACGGCGCCACATACCTGCTGGGAGAGAGAGAGAGATGGGGGGGGGAAACTGGAGGGAGAGGAGGGATGAAACAGAAATTGAGTGAGGGAAGAGGAAAGAGTGAGGAAGGAGAATGAAGGAAGAGGAGAGGGAGAGAGAGTTGTCAGGTCGGTTACCTCACCTTGATGTTAGCATGACACCCTGGCTAGTTCGCCCTCCCCCTCCTCGCTGTCTTCCCTAACTCAGGGTGTCTATAGTTTTATTCCTTCCAACAAAGCGGATGAAATATAATGCTTCAATAATAATAATAATAATAATAATAAGAAGAAGAAGAAGAAGAATGAGTAAGAACAACAAATTCATAATAATAATAATAATAATAATAATAATAATAATAATAATAATAATAATAATAATTGCACACACTCATGACATAAGCTGTTAGTTTGGGCAGATAAGGAGCAACACACACACACACACACACACACACACACACACACACAGAAGGAAGTATCATAATATTACATTAGGTGAGACAATGTTGTGTGTACCTTTATGGGGGAGTGAGGTGCTGTGTTGTTTTTATTATTGTTGTTGGTTTTGTGATGTTGTTTTTAGTATTTTTGTTGATGTAGTTGTAGTTGTTGTTCGTTTTTTAATTGTTTTTTTTACTATTTTTTTGTTTTATTTTCATTATATTTGACGTTGTAGCTGTTACTGTTATTGTTATTATTATTTTCATTAGTGTATTATTATTATTTTTATCATCATCGTTATTATTATTTATATTATTATTTTATTATTATCATTATTGTTGTTATTATTATTATTATTATTATTTATATTATTATTTTATTATCATTATTATTATTATTATTATTATTATTATTATTATTATTATTATTTATATTATTATTATTATTATTATTATTATTATTATTGGGAAAGAAAATAATCTTATTCGTTGCCTAAAAGTCGATTTCTTTTTTTTACCTTGTGGAAGTTCTTCAGGTGTAAAAAAAGGTTAATTAGTAAAATGTAAAATAAGTTGATGTGTTTTCCGTGGGGTTAGGTTAGGTTAATCTGGGGACGTTGGGATTGGGTCTAACTCCCTGCCTCGCTGGGTCTAGGGTCGCTTGCTTGTAATCTGGGTATGTGTAGGTTGTTCAGTACCCGCCTCTTCTGACCTTATGCTGGTGGTTTGGTGTTTGTGAGGTTTGATCACTATGGTTTTGTTTCTATCTGGTAGTGGTGGTGCTGACGATGGGTGGTAGTGGTGTGTTGATAATAGTGATAGAAGCGATGGTGGTAGTGGTGGTAGCAGGTGTCATATAAGCTCCCCCCTCGCCTCGTGACCTACAGGTGACCCGCGACACAACTTTCCACCACTTGGTTGAAACACGGCAAAAACTGCACTCCGGGGCGGGTCAGTGTGTGTGTGTGTGTGTGTGTTTAATCAGCTCTTATGTGTGCCTCTCCTCACCTGACTGCTGGATGTTTAAGCTGGCGAGGGACCTTTATTTTAAAATGTGGCATTGAATAACACCAAGTAATAAATATAACTCCCTTTACTTAATTATTCTATGTAAATAATCTACGTCATAGCCATCAAGGTGTGGTAATAACCCCCTCCCCCCCACCCCTCCCATCACCATCTCCCGGGTCAACAGGTAGGGCGAGTAGGACTGACCCCGGGTTATTGAGCCAGGTCACGGGATGGTCATCAAGGTCACCTGGAGATGGCAACACTCCCTCGGGCTAGTCACAGATGCCACACACACACACACACACACACACTCTCACACACACACACACACCTATGTTGGTATTTACAAATCAGGACCCACCGTGTTTGGCAGGGTATTGCGTGGTCAGGAGGCGGTGGCGGCGTTCTGCAGGGTGTGGCAGGGGTCCCTTACGAGAGCGGACCTGGCTATTTTGGGCGTTGCAGGAGTGGGTTGGATAGGGCAGGGTGGGGTTGGATAGGGCAGGGTGGGTTGGATAGGGCAGGGGTGGGTTGGATGGGGTGGGTTGGATAGGGTAGGGTGGATAGGGCGGGACAGATTGGATAGGGTGGGGTGGGTTGGTAGGGTAGGATGGGCAGGGAGGACAGATTGGATAGGGTAGGGGGGTTGGATGGGGCAGGGATAGATTGGATAGGGTGTTGGGTTGGATAGGGCAGGGGTAGATTGGATAGGGCAGGGGTGGATTGAATAGGGTAGGGGTAGATTGGATAGGGCAGGAGTGGGTTGGATAAGGTAAGGATGGGTTGGCTAAAGCAGGGGTGTGGTGAGGTACAGGTGTGTGGTGAGGTACAGGTGTATGGTGAGGTACAGGTGTGTAGCGAGGTGCAGTTGTTTGGTGATGTACAGGTGTGTGAATGTAGCACAGGTGTGTGGTGACGTACAGTTGTGGTGAGGTACAGGTATAGGTGTGTGGGTGTAGCACAGGTGAATAATGAACAGGTCTCAGGTGAGTTATGAAGGCTGATGCCCCACGCTGACCTACCTGTTGCTGGTGTCTTGATAATGACCACTGACACCACTGCCCACGGTGATGCTGACGGCCAGACCCACAGTCAGACCCACGAGCAGACAGAGATACCCACAGGTAGACACACAGACCCACAGGTAGACAAACAGACCCACAGGCAGAAAGGTCAGCTGGTGCTCACCCCGGGAACCTGTTTGACTCGGGGCGACCCTCCACCTCCGGCCGGCACGAGTAACGGACACGTGACCCCTCTCTCCCCTCACCCTCCCTCTCACTATCTCCTCTCGTTCTCTTCTCCTCCCCCCTTCTCTCTCCTCTTTCCCTTTCCCCTACCTCTTTTCTCTCTCTCCCTCTCCTTTTCTCTCTTCTCTCTCCTGTCCTCTGCCCTCCTCCCTCCTTCTCCTCCCTCCTCTCCACCCCTCTCTCCTTTCTCCTTCTCTCCCATCTCCCTCTCCTTTCTCTTTTCCTCTCCTCTCTTCTCCCCCTCACTTTCTTCTCCTTCCCACCTCTCCCTCCCATCTGCTTTCATTCTCTCCCTCTCTTTCCTCTCCTTAATGTATGCTTAAGGGAATGCCCCATATTTCACCTACGTTCATTAAAACCTTTATTTTACAGCTAACCATTTCAAGTCTGTAGTTGTTATAAATATGATAAGTTTAACCAGCTCTTGATGACGTCACACTTCCTCTGATGACGTTACACTTCTGATGACGTCACACTTCTGATGACGTCACACTTCACCTGTCGTCAAGGTCACTCGTGATTAATGTAGCCCCCCCTCCCCTGTGACCTCACCTGTTGACCTGAGTTATGATAGGTGATCTTAACTTAAATTAGGTCAATTATACCTACACCAGTTCCCATTCTTCATAGGTCACACCCATAGTCTAATTCTGGGGTCCATTGGGTTTTTTTTTATGGGGTGGCTTAGGATTTGGGGCCCACTTGGACATGTGGATCACTAGAACTTGGGGCCCACTGGAACTTGGGGCCATTTTGACTGGAGGAGGAGAAGGAGGGTTTGACTGGTCTTACGTAAATAAAGACTCATGATTAATGTACCAGAGCGTGATTGGTATCTTACACCACGCCCACCCCCCCCTCTCTCTCTCTCTCTCTCTCTCTCTCTCTCTCTCTCTCTATTTGCTCCCAATTTCTTGCTTTCTTCTTACTCCCAACTTCTTCCTTCAACTTCCTTCCTTCCTTCCTTCCTTCCTTCCTTCCTTCCTTCCTTCCTTCCTTCCTTTCTTGCCCTGTTCTGGAGGAAATTGGAGAGTGGCAGGAGAGAGTAGAATGCACTATCTGGTGGTAGTGTGGGGGAGGAGGGGAGAGAGGGGGTAGGGGGAGGAGGTAGAAGGTGGGGAGAGAGGGGGTACGAAGGGAGGAGGTTGAAGGTGGGGGAGATAACCGTTTTCTGTGGTGGGAGGCGGCGTGAAAAGTTTAGTGGTGTGACCGTAGAGTTCATAGTAGCCCAGAGAGGTCGTTTGTCAGGGAGGGTTGTGTCTCTCTTACGATGTGATGATGATGATGATGATGATGATGATGAATAGTATTAATGATGATAATTTCATTTCGGAAATACATGTACTCATGGTATTAAAGCAGACAGAGTTTATGAGTCAGATCTATCAAGGACATGAAGTTAGCTTATAGATATGAACGAACTTAACCTAACATGACCTAACCTACGTAATTAAATCAACTCTTGAGATTGTAAGGTTTGTTTGCTTCGGTTTGAGTTGTAAAAGAATTTCACAGTAAAACAAATAACGTCTGTGTGTCTCAGTTCAAGGCGTAAGTTTCTCTGCCGTGTGTGTTTGTGTAGTGATTTATTTATACTATTTATTGTAAGTTAATGTGTTGAGGAAACTATTTATGTACCGTTACTTTCCATAATGTTTCTCTTTTATAGGATTTAAGTTGTCGATGATGAGTAGTGTTGCAGTAGATTAATGTGTTGTGTTGTATTGCAGGAGCAGCCGTGACACAGGGGAGGACAGCCGGGGTGATGCAGGGGCCACCCGCCAGGCTCCTGAGAGGCGGGAGAGTGGCCGCTTCCCGTCGGCGGCGCGCCTCCTGCGGTCTCTCGCCCGCAGCCGTGACGATGACTGTGGCGGGGCTCGACCCAGGGACACCTCAGAGCCTAGACTCACCCGCTCTAACCCTCACTACCACTCGGAGGGTAAGGGCCTCAAGAAGAAGAACAACTGGACCTCCGAGCGTGAGCTGAACAACTCGGCGAGTCCAACACACAAGGAGCGCAGCCACAGCTTCTGCGAGAAGACCAACACCAAGCGTCGCTACTCCTACCACGACAACAAGATGCTGAGGGAGGAGGCCCGGGCACGTCTTGACCGCCAGGACGACTCTTGCTCACACATGGAGGGCTCCAGCCCCACCCTCACCAGTGACCTGACCCCGCCCTCGCCCCCCACGCCCACACCCTCCTCAACTGCCTCCCCGCATTCACCTTCGCCCGAAAATCTGAGCGAGAATATTTATGAGAACTTGCCAGCTCATATAGGCAGTAGTGAGTTAGTTATGAACGGTGGGGACCCTGGCGTGAGTCACGGTGCTCCTGAAGGTAGTGTGATAGAGGCTCACACGAGGCCACTAGACCGAGGGGAGCGTGAGAGGCGCTCCGTGAGGAAGTTAACTAAGGACTCAGGGTACGAGACCTCGCCCTACAGTGAGAGTGACTACGCCAATATTGACCTTTACTCTGACGCGGACGCCACCCTGGACGGTGACGGTGATGACGTCACACTGGCACCCGAGTCTGAACTGGCACCTCCCTCACCTCTCCTGGACATTGCCAACCCCGCCCCCCACACCGACCCCGCCCACCACACCGACCCCGCCCATCACACCGACTTGCCGCACCACCTCACTCCCAGCAAAACAAGGTAAGTGTCCGTGAAGCACCTGAGTGTGTTGTGGTGATGGATGACTTATGGACTATATAGGTGTAAATTATACTAAGGTAAGTGCCCTGATAAACACATTTTGTTTATTATTCCTTCCGCTGCATAGGCCATAGAGCGCCCCCAGTCGACCCAGCTGCTGAATCGGTACCCTATTTACAGTTAGGAAATGAAAGACAGTGTAGAGTAATGACAGCCACAGTAACTCTGAGGTGGAGCTACACTGTCAGGCCTTCACGTCACGTTTCTCACACTCACTTTTAATGTCATAATAAAATAATTTTCCCGTAATGATGGACGAATTTTGATGATTATGTGTGCGTGCGCGCGCGTGTGTGTCTGTGTGTGTGTCTGTGTCTGTCTGTCTGTGTGTGCGTGTCTGTGCGCGCACGTAACAGCCTGAATAACTCAGTACAAAGGATTTATTGTTGGTAATCCTGTATCATGACAATATAAATAATCCTTGATGGTAGGTGATAAGTGAGACCGATAACAGAGATAAAGGTGTGGACTGATAAGGCATGAGGTATCCCTGAGCGTAGCATCGCCACTGTGTTCACCTGTATGGGCTAACACCAGTCTCCTCTTGTTTACGTTGTAGCCCAGAGCCAGGTGCTGTGTTGGTCGCTTAGTAACCCGTGTTGGTGGTTCTCTCACTGCATGGGTCGTTTATCTTGTGAATGAAGCCGTGTGGATAGAAATTTATATACAAATTCATTGTATCTGTGAAGAGGAACAGCCACAGAATAACGCGATTTAATGTGAATGTTGACCTAAGGGATGGAAACGCTATACAGAGTTGAGTGTTAACGTTCTGTCGGCCTGTCCGGAAATGCGAAATTGGTGAAGAATGTGACGTGTGATGGGAAACAAAGAGTGATGTGACGGGTGACGAGGAAAAAGGAGTTGAATGAGGCTCATGGCTCCTGATGTCAAAACGAATCGAGTGTGACTCGTGTGGGATAGCGTGTGTGCGTGTGCGTAATTAGATGCGAATACTAACAGAAGAACAAGCAAGAGTGGACCATGTTGAAGTGGAGGTACAACAGAAACAGCGTCCAACTGCGCCTCAACAGTACCCGAGGGAGGCGACCCAGGTCCTTGATGGAGTGTGGCTGTAACAGGTAATGTGTGGCACTTGCGTCAGCCACCCCCCCCCCCCCAGGTCTTTCCAGGTCATTGTAGTCTTAACCTCCTTTGAATAACCGTGAAGCCCTGGATTTTTGGTTCCTCACTGCACCCCTGGCCCGGTCACTCCTCGGGTACTTCACTGCACCCCTGGCCCGGTCACTCTTCCGGTCCCTCACTGCACCCCCTGCTTCTACCTCCCTCCACATCAGCCAGTCATCACAAACCACAAACACAACCGATAACAACATTAACTTAGACACAATAAACTACCTGCTCCTATTCCCATCGTTGGTAATGGTAAATAAATAATTAAGGGATAACAAGAACTCAGGTAATTCTCGTTAGTGGATTTATCTTATCTGTTAACGAGGATTGATGGTCGACTTCCGTTGGTGTGTGTTGGAGATGTTCCTGTGTTGACTCCTTCCTCACCACGGCACCTGGTCAGTCAGTCAGTCAGTGGTGCTGTGATTAATTGCTTTATCTCACTTTGATTTTGTTCGATTGGTTGGGTTAAGTTAGGTTTTGTTGAGTTGGGTTAGGTTATTTTGACCCACGACAGACGTTTCACACACACACACACACACACACACACACACACACACACCCCTACCTGGTTGCTAACAAACTTATAACCAGGGAGCCGCCATTATCAGCTCGTGACAACTACAGGTGTTTTATTGAGAGTAGTAGGGAGGGGGGGTCCTTCTCAAACTCACCAGTTAAGCTGATGCGCTAACATGCTGGAGAGAAGGAAGAAGGGAGGAGTAGGAGGGAATAGGGGAGGATAGAGAGGGAGAGAAGAAGGGAGGAAGGGGTAAGAGGAAAGTAGAAGAGGGAGGGATAAGGATAGAGAGCTCCCCTAATTTATGGAGTGACACCACATACTCCCCCTCCCCTTCCTCCACTTGTCAATCTATTGCCTCCCTCCACCTGCCTCTCTCACCCCTCCACCTACTTGTCTGCTGCCTCTCTTATTCCTCCACCCCCGCATATGGATAGTGTGTTAACTCTCCCTGCCTCGTGTGGATAGTGTGTTAACTCTCCCTGCCTCGTGTGGATAGTGTGTTAACTCGTGGGTGGATTGTCAACCACGTTAATTGTTATTTATCATGGGTGGATAATTTACCATATTAACTTTTCTAACCGTAAATGCATCTGCCCTATTAGAGACTATGGCTCCTCTTGCGTGTCTATAGCGCGTCCTTATCCACGTGTGTCCTGGGGAAGGGAATCGAATGGGGAAGGACTTGTTAATGTGTGTGTGTGAGGTCCTGTATATACTAGAGAAGATAATAATGTGTGGTAAGACAGACAGGCACACACACACACACACACACACACACACACACACACACACACAAAGACATATGTACATTAATATAAACATACATAAACAAATATTAATATACCTCCCTTTAACATTTCTTATATATTCATTTATTTACAATACTTCATCGAATCATTTCCCTAATAAACGTCACATTTTCTGGAGCTGAACAAATACATTATGACACCCCACCGTGGGCCCAACAGGGGGTAGACGGTGATAGTCGAGTTATCAAGGGGAGGAATCTGTCTGGAGGACGTATTTGGGAGGTTGGTATATTGTCACTCCACGCGGTGCTCCTCCAGTGTGTGTGAGAGAGAGAGGGAAGCAGTGTTCAGTTCAGGGGGTGGAGATGGGTGTACTGTGTGTTGTGTTGTGTTGTGTGTAGTAGTTATCGGTGTTACCTGTGTCTTGGTCTGTATTGTCTTTGGTCTAACTAGCACAACCTGTGTCTCTTGGACGCAGGTTCATTCATAACATTTAAGTGCCTACGTACGCGCGCACACACACACACACACACACACACATACATGGAAGATATGGTCACACGCTACATATCTAAACAAGGTCACTAAGAAATGTCATTAGCGTTCATGATAATTAATTCACTGATTGCACCCCCTTCCCGCTTGAGTTATTACAAGTGTGAGACATGACGGTAGGTGGCTCTCAAAGGTCAAGTGTGAGGTGGAGGTGGACGAGCGCCAGGTGGTAGGGGGAGAGAGGGTCATTCTAGGTCAACGCCAGGTGATGCCGGCGGCCAAGAGTACCTAACACTTAAATCTCACCTGACCTCCAAGCACACACACACACACACACACACACACACACACACACACACACACACACACACACACACACACACATTTGTTTCACGGCGGAGGATCACGATACAAGCGAGCGCAAATTTGAAGGGGGTTAGTGAGGGAGAAAGAGGAAGGAAACGCGTTTGTGTGTGGGTGAAAGGAGAGGAGCCGCTACCACAGTATACATGTCACGTGTGTGTGTGTGTAACGGAGGGCGCCCATCACCTGCCATTCCGTCTGCCCTCGTGTTGGGCGAGGAAGACAGTTTAGGTGGGCGTGGCGGTCGGGTAGGTGGGGGAGGGAAAATTATGGCGTGGGTGTGTGGGCGTGGTGGGTGGTACACGGATGGGCGTGGGCTGAGGGGTAGTGGACACACCATAAATTATGCAGGTTGAGGGTACCACCACCTACTCCACCTCCTCCTCCTCGTGCTCTTTGTTCTACGGCCTCCTTGACGGTCCGGTCGTTACTCCCCCACCCGTCGAGTCAAGACAAGGTAGGGGGCAGAACCGGCTTGGACCGGGTATGGACCGAACCGGACCGAGGACGGGTTGGGGGCATCATCATCACCACCATCATCATCATCCACACTTGCCAGGGCTGGGAGTACCACAGTCTGCATTCCGGCGCGTGTCCCCCTCCCCTCCTTCCCTCTTTCACCCCCCTCCTTCCCTCCACTATTCCGCCAACTACGTTTCACCATTTCTCCAACTACCCCTACCATTCTTCCACCTCCACCACTCCCCCATTCTCTCCTCCACCCCTCCTGCACGCCCCCTCACTACCCATCCCCATCTCCGCTCCTCCTTCTGTTACCCCTCTTACCCTTCCATTCTCACTCTTTTCATGTTTTCTCCCTCCCCTACCTCCTTACCTTCTCCCCACCACCTATCCTTTTCTCTCCCCAATCTTCCTCTCCCAATCACTAGTCCCCGCCCCCTCCCGCCCTCACCTCCCCCCCCCTCACCTTCACCCCAATGATCGTAGGGAGGGGGAGTCATCTTGGGGTCTTTGGTACCTTGAAAATTCAATTATGTGTCATGAATGGTCAGGATGACTGTGTGTGTGTGTGTGTGTGTTTTCTTTGGGGAAGTAGGCGGAGGAATTGACCTTATCCACCCCTATCCCCTTTTCCCTCCACCCTTACCTACTCAATAGGGTGATTCAGCAGCCAAGGGTCAACTTTAAGCCCCTTTGTTTTGGCTGGTTATGACCTAACTCGGACTGACCGAATCACACACACACACACACACACACACACACACACACACACACACACACACACACATCCTCTCTCCCTCTCAGCCTTTTTATTCTGCTATACATCACATAATAATAATAATAATAATAATAATAATAATAACTCATTTACGACACTGGTCAGAGTGTGTAGAGACTCACCTTGGTACACTCACCTGAGGCCCCCCACCTACCAGCAATCCCTCACCTCTTACTGTACTTTATCAGGTGGCTGTAACTACTTGTTGCTGTAATTAAATTCTAGGCGTATAATTTACCTGTCCAGATAATTGCCACACCTGTCTACCTGAGCAAAAGAAAGTAAATATTGTCTCTATGGTTTGTTGATTAATGGTGTGGGAAAGTAATTTCCTCTGGAGAAAATAAAGTTTAATCCATCATCCTCAAAAAGTTTAAACCATCATCCTCAAAAAGTTTAATCCATCATCCTCAAAAAGTTTAAACCATCATCCTCAAAAAGTTTAAACCATCATCCTCAAAAAGTTTAAACCATCATCCTCAAAAAGTTTAATCCATCATCCTCAAAAAGTTTAAACCATCATCTCAAAAGGTTTAAACCATCATCCTCAAAAAGTTTAAACCATCATCCTCAAAAGGTTTAAACCATCATCCTCAAAAAGTTTAATCCATCATCCTCAAAAAGGGTTATAAATTAAACTATCATCCTCAGAAGGCTTACAGATTAAACCATCAATCTTAAAAGGTTTAAAGCGCCATCCTCAAAAGGGTTAATCCATTATCCTCAGCAAGAAAAAGAATAAGAAGGAAGGGAATAGGGGGAGGAGGAGAGAGGTTTTGAACAGGGCAAGGTAGATGTATCGCCGATTGCTGTCTCCTCAGTGAACTCAAAGGACTATTTTCCTTGCTCCCTAACCTAACCTAACCCTCCTCAGGTAACGTTAAGGTGGTTAATCATCAAGTGAAATAAGTTGAGAGGGGCGGTGGGGGACGAAGGGTGTGTAATCTTCAGGTGATTTCTATATTGTTCCCTCTATTCTGTGACTGTTTTGGCGTATCACCTCGCAATTTGGGGGCGGGGGTGTCAAGTGCCAGCAGCAGGTGAGGGAAGGAGAGGTGCCGTAGCCGTGTACAGCCCATGAGGTCA